ATAATCCGGAGACTTTAGCATCAATAAGCTAAAGCTACTGGAAACAGAAAACCCAGTTTTCTATGAGGGAAAGGTTAATGGTTTGCTTGTATAGACCACTGATAAAATGAAATAATTAAATAGAAAAAAAATCAAGTAAAACTTTTTTTTTACTTTACTCAAGCTCTTTTTTCACTTACATTCAGATCGCTTTTTAAAACTTTGTGAAAAGTTTCAGTTTATGATAGTTCACATTTACTGGGTGAATTCTACTGAATGCCCATCTGACCTCCATTATCCCTCAAGCACTTATTTTCAGTGGGGAAAAGAACATCAGTTTAATGAAAATACTTGAGTTAATTGGGAAGAAGAGGAGATTACTGGTACTGTCACGCTGAGCAGTGTTAAAAGTCCTTGGTGAGGAAAAAGGTGAAAACCAATTAAGTGATTCTGAACACAAAGTAGTCAAAAACCAGACAAATAATTAAACCAAAAGCTTGTCTTACCCTTTACTATTCATATTCCCCTTTCTTTGATCCCAATAATACATTTTAAAAAGAAAATGATGTTTCTTGACCCTTAAAACCCTTTTACAAGTTAAATGAACATCAAATAAAAAATAAAAAAGTTTTAAAATTAAGTTTGACCGGTTTGAATGCCCGTTTCTGGTCAGGGGCCAGTCTTTGCCTGAAGTGGAGAAGTTTAAGTATTTGGGCATCTCGTTCATGAGTGATGGTAGGCTGGAGCAGGAGATTGATCAACGGATTAGGACCTCATTGTCAGTAATGAGGGCATTGCTTTGGTCGGTCATGGTGAAGAAAGAGTTTATCTGAAAGGCGTAGCTATGAATTTACTGGTCTATCTATGACTCAACTCTCACTGTGGTCATGGGGTTGGGATTATGACTGAAAAAACAAGATTCTGGATACAAACAGCCAAAATGAGCTTCCTTCGTAGGGCGGCAGGGCTCAGCCTTAGAGATAAGATGAGGAGTTCCATCATCTGGGGGAGCGTGGAGTAAAGCTGCTGTGCTTTCACACTGAAAGGACTTTGTTGCAGTGGTTCATCTGATTAGGATGCCTCCTGGACGCCTCCTTTTGAAAGTGTTTCAGTCATGTCCCACTTGTAAGAGGATTCAAAGCAGGTTCGCTGGAGGGATTATATTCTCTGGTCTGGGGCATCTTTAGGTACCCCAGGATAACCTGGAGAATGTTGATGAGAAGAGGGTCTGGGCTGGGTAGGTTTTTTTGATGCCTCAAATTGTGCTCTGTCTAGGACACGGTTTGAGAGATCTTTTTTTTTATACCGTCTCTCCTCATGTTTTCTTTCCTTTTCTTATCTAAGCAAAATATTATTCTGAATAAGAATAAGAAGGCCGCGCTGATTATTTTAGCCGCAGCTTCGTGCACTCCGCCCATCTTCGGACGACTGTACGTACATATTCACGTTGTATCTCGGTGCAATGCCAATAAAGTTTATTCTGATTCTGATTCTGATCTACTGCCTCTGAAACCGTTAAGTAGTAGAAGATGGAAATGGAGTTTCCCATGGAATTAAAATGACAATTTATGAATAGGTT